CTTGAAAAATTGCCTATACAACTGTAAAACTTACAGAAGAACCTCATACCTTTTCATTGGCCCCTACTTTTTTTTCAGAAAAATTTTGTAAAAAGTGGGCGACTCAGCTTACCCCCTCCAAAAGATCGACAAATTGTTTACTTATCCAATTAGGTGGTATTGTTTACATTTTTTTTCTGTCATAACAAATATATGAGAAACTATTTAGAAGTAGGCGTAGAAATCTGTGACCCGAATGTGGCGACCTGGACAAACAATGTTTCGAGCCCAATAGTGCGATACACCAACAACTCTATGGTGCCGATTGTCGAAGAAGGTTTCCTTGCTGATTAAATCCTTAGATATACTGGATATATAAATTAGAGTAGAGCTTAATTTAGATAATAGTATATAATTTTTACAGAGCTCGATACAGGTTTATAATTGTGACTGTCCTTCAGTTTAGTTTAGTTTTTTCTCGTAATTTATTTACCCCTTTTATTTCTTTTATTTGTTTTTTTTATGTATTTTAGTATATTTCCCTTTTTTTCGATTCTTAAAATTTTCTTTTTCTTTCACTTCCTTATAAGAAGATGTCATTAGTTTAGTGATATTCTATTGTAGGTGGTAGTCGGACAAGCCCTCCGGTTAGAGTATTATCTTAGAATAGTATCTCGCCAGTACAGCAGGTTCACCTGTAGATGCATGTAGATAATCGGTTAGGTTATTCGAGATAATCGCAGGATATCAAATCTTTAACTTTAATGTTTATAGACTCCCATTTTAGATCCGCATTGTTAAATAAAAAATACTGGCGTGACTTGCCAAAGTGAAAAAAAATATATATATTGTTTTATATAAATTATTAAGTTGTACAATATTTTTAACTATACAAAAATAATAAATAAATTATATAATTACAATATAATTATAATATAAAAATAATATAATTTTTATAAATTTTATAAATTATATAATTATAATATCAAAATTATATAATTTTAATATAGTAATTCTATTGTTAAAAAAATACAAGTTTCAGCAAAGTATTAGTTTCTTCTTTTCTCCTCGTCTTCTATTATTTTTCTGAGCTGTGTTTTCTTCCTTTGCAGTCCTTTTCTTTAATTTAACCTTATTGCCTATTTAGGATCATCTTGTGACTCTTCCTTTACTTCATAGATTTCACTCCAAATTCTCCAACCTTCTTAGGATCTCTATTAATGTTGCTTCTATACTTTGTGGTTTTGCTTCTTCTTCATTCTTTCTTTCTCTAGGCTCCTCTTCTTTATTGTAGTCAGCTCTTGGTATTCTTAAGCTTTCTTCTCTTGTGGTATCTGTAGAGCATTTTTTTCTATGTTCTTGTTTTCTGTTATATTTTTGTTCTCTTCTTTCTCTTGTTTTGTTTTTCTTCTTTTTTCTCTTTCTCTTTGGTCTGTTTCTTCTGTTTCACTTGCTGTGTCTTCTTCTCTTCTGTATGGAGCTTCCTATTGCAACTAATTATTATATTTTACTGTCTTTGTAGTTGCTTGCTCTCTGTCTTCTTTGTATTTGAAAGCTATGATTGCTACTGCTCTTTGTCTTCCATTGCTGTTGCGTGGTATATAAACTGACTTTGCTTCTATTTCTCAACTTGTTGAATAATAGAACCTCTGATGCTTTCTTTGGCAATCCTCTTAGTTTCACTATTATGTTATTTTGACTGTTTCTTTTTCTGAAGTTTTCTATTCCTGATATAACTCTTGCCAGTTTTTTTTGACCAGAATTGCCCAGAAGATTTCTTTGTATAGACTTTTTCTAATTTTTAATATTACTAGTGCTTTCAAAAAGCTTCTTTTAATTTGAATTTCTTCTGTCTTTTCTAGCTTCTTGCAAGCATACTGTACTTCTTGTTGGTTTATTTCTTTATATAAGTTCTATATTGTTATATGCATTATTTCTTCATCATCTTTTTTTACGCTTGATTCTTCATCTTCTGTCTCTATATCTATGATCTTTTTGTTGTTGAAGTTTCTTCTTTGTTTTTCATAGTTCTTTTCTTTTTCTATCTTCTTTATTTCTTCTGTATTTGAGCTTTTCTGTGTTATGTTGTTTCTTTTCTTTGGTTGTCAAACCTCTTCTGGTATTATTCTAAACCACTCTTAGTTTTTCTTTTCTATTTTCTCCATCACTTCTTTTCTTTTTACTTCGCAGTCAAAGGTAACTTCTACCCATTCATTAT